AATGATTTATTTTTTCTCCTAAGTCCTGGATCAGAGTAACTGGCACAGCTGTTACATATGTCCAAAATGGTGTCTGGCCCTCTCTGTAGTTAAGAATGCTGGTGCCGGGTGGTGGGAGAGGAATGTGTCCCTCTTTGTTCCCCCTCTAAGTTGGCAGGTACACTGTCCGCCCCCTCCCCAGGGCTCCAAGCTGGACTTATACCAGACTTTTCCTGCAGCTCTTCCCTTAGTGGCTTGGGCTGCTGCAGTCTAGTCTTCCCTCACTCCAAAGCTTGTGCTGAGGTTCTTGGTTGCTGGGATCTTGAGTGCGTCCACACTCTCCATGTAGGTTCAGTGTCTCTAATTTGCATGCTTTCTCTGGAGTTTAACTCTTCCCTGAGATTGTACTCTGTCCACGTTTTTAAAACTATCTTCCCCAGACTACAGCAGTAAGCTCCTCCCTATTCTTAAACTCTTTAAAGTCTGTTTTATCTGTTATCAGGATAGCTATGCCTTCTTGCTTTTGGTTTCTGTTTGCCTGGTATATTTTTTTCCCAAACCTTTACTTTCAGTCTGTGTATCTTTGTGAAATGAATTTCTTGTAGCATTGTATTTCAATTAAAAATTTGGTTCTATGGAGGGAAAAGTGTCCCTCAATGAAATACATGTAACCTTCAGAACATGTAATTATTAGGGAATTTTAAAAAGTTGGCCAAAAAACAAAAAGGATAATGTACATTCTCTAGACCTCTTAGAAGTGCTCCTACATATTTCTTGCATGGAAAAGGGGGCTTAGTAGATAAGATTCAGCTGACAATTCAAGAGAGGTTGCCCAGAATTGTTCATGTTGGGTCCGAAGTAATTGCCTGGTCCCAAGAGCTAAGAAACATTCTTGACTGTGATCAGACGGTGACATTACTACAGAGTAAAGATTAAAGAGAGGTAACATTACCGACATTAAAGATGAGCCAAGGACTGTAGACAGCATCTACAAGCTGGAGAATACAAGGAAACAAATGGTGCCTTAGAGCCTTTGGGGGTGGGGAAGTGAAGCAGCCCTCCTGACACTGTGCTATTAGACTAGTTAGTTTTGCCAAACTGATCCCCCTAGAACTGTGAGGTGTTAACTTTGTTGTTGGAAATCACTAACTTTGTAACAATCTGGCACAGCAGCAATGGAAAATTAAGGTACCATGCTACTTAAATTTTTTTGATAGTCAAATTTGGTAGTATTGTATAGTAACTAGAGCTTGAATTGTTCTATAAGCAGTACTTTGACCCAGGTAATAAAGAACTCCTAATAATTTTCTTTTTTCCTGATACTTAGGTGCTCTCTTGCTATTTGAAAGTCATTCTTAAGTATTAAATGAGGTATGAATTCAGCAAAATCTGGTTAAAAGGGGGCTGGTGTTGTGGTGTGGTGGATAAAGGCACCACCTGCAGTGCTGGCATCCCATATGGGTGATGGTTCAAGTCTTGGCTGCTCCACTTCTAGTCTGGCTCCCTGCTGGTGTGCCTGGGAATGCAGCAGAGGATGGCCCCGGTACCCACATAGGAGTCCTATAGCAGTCTCTTGGCTCCTGACTTCAGAGTTGCCCAGCTCCAGCTGTTCCCACTACCTGGGGAGTAAACCAGCAGGTGGAAGATGTTTCTCCCCCTCTTTCTGTAACTCTGTCTTTGAAATAAAGCTTTAAAATTCCAGTTAAATGGCCAACCAGTGGCCTTAACACCGCTTACCTTAAAATCTCCCTTATTGCAGAATGAGATGGCACTTTTACTGTGTGTGGAGTGAATGTCCCTAGGGATGCTCCTGGTCTTGAACATTTGTTTCTGCCCTGGTTGTCCATTCACACATCATCACCACACTGTTTGTATTTCAGGAGCTTTGCACTCTGTTTACTGGGTAAGTTAAAGCATTTGCCCTTCCCAGCTTTTCTTTTAGTGGTTTCTTTTCTATTCTTCTAAGTTTTCTCACACAAACTTTAATGTTAACTAGTATAGCTTCCAAAAAAGCATGCTGGTATTTTTATTGGAATTAGGTTTATGTATAAAGTAGCCTAACAAAAACTAACGTCTTTATAGTTCTGAGCTGTTGGGATATAGCGTGGCAAATATCTTTGATTCATGTCTAGTTTTGTGGCTTTTGGGAGTTCTAACATTTTCTTCACATAAGTTTTGTATATTTCCACTTGAGATATTTCCCTAAGTGTGTTACCATCTTTCTGACTAATGTAAATGAGTCGTTCATACTTGGGACCTTGCCTTCAGTGTCTAGGTCGAGAAGTGTCTAGGAAGGCTTTTGTGTCTTGGAAGGCTTTTAATTATGTATATTCATAATCTGAATTTTGTCAATTTAATGATAGGTTTGCATAACTTTATGTGACATCTATGATTTCTTGTTTTCCAGTCCTTACACCTTTTTGTGAAAAATCTTGTACAACTGGATTGAGTCCAATAAAATACTAAGTAGTAGTAAATTATGGGCATCCTGGACTAATTTACAAGCAAACTGAATACCCTGGGAATTTCTAAATTAATTTCCAAATTAAGTTACCTTTGTGAAAGAAACTTTTTTGAAATCCATGCATAGTGTTTGATAATGCATGAACTTTTTGAAAACCTTTAACAATCCTGCACCAAATCTTCTGCACCACAATAAACTTCTAATTGCTTTCTCTGAAGTACCCTGGAATGTTTTATCACATTAACAAAACATACATAAATTAGACTTTCTTGATTTTTAACCAGGAATAGTATTAAATTATTTAAAAATTTATTTATTTTATTTGAAAAGCAGAGTTAGAGAGGGAGAGGCAGATATAGGACTTCCATCTGCTAGTTCATTCCCCAAATAGCTGCAATGGCCAGAGCTGAGCTGATCCAAAGCCAGGAGCCAGGAGCTTCCTCCTGGTCTTCCACACAAGTACAGGGGCCCAAGGACTTGGGCCATCTTCCACTGCTTTCCCAAGCCATAGCAGAGAGCTGGGTTGGAAGTGGGGCAGCCAGGACTCAAATTGGCACCCATATGGGATGTTGGCATTATAGGCAGCGGCTTTACCCTCTACAACACAGTGCTAGCCCTAGGAATGTTGTTAAATTTTTCTAAGGCTTTTAAAATATCTATGCAGAGACTGTGTAATACTTCTCATTAGATTTATTGTATAGTACATGAATGCATTAATAATGAGTAAACTTGGATTTCTGGATAAAATATAATTTGGTTGAGGTATATTAATGTATTAACACCGTCTTCCTCATTTAGTATTTTTGCATTGATATATGTAATATCAATATATAATTTTTAACTGTTTTTATAAGGTTAAATTAATGGTTTGCTTCATTAAAGTAATTAGGAAGTTGTCCTCCCTTTTTACATGTTCTTGAACAAATAAGCATTGGAGTGATGTGTGTAGTGGGTTTCTTTAGAATTCCCTGGGCCTATGGATTGGTGTGGTGTCTAATGGTTGCATATTTGCAATCAGAAAGTTGATGAGATTAATCTGTCTACAATAGAATGGATTTTGGTAATTGTCTTTAAATTGTTCATTCTATGTATTTATACATTTATTGGGATAAATATGAGATCTATAAAGTAATCAACTCATATATTTGTTTCAGTAGTCGCTTCCCCCCCACTTATCATTTCTTTATATATTTTTGCTTTCATAATTTTTGAAATCTTTAATGAGATGTGTGTTTGTCTAACATGGATTTTGATTTCTTAATTAGATTGCCTGCTTTTCTGTTTTGTGTTTACTACATTTTGTTTTTAACCTTACTTTATTCCTCATGCTTTGTAATTTTTTTTTTTTTTTTGGGCTTCTGGAGCCTAGAATTTATCTTATTTATATAGGTTGAGAATCCTTAACAAAAAATCTGAAATAAAATGCTGTGAAGCAAAAAACATCTTGAGTGCCAACATGATACCACAAGTGGAAAATTCCACACTGGGACCTTATGTGGCACATTGTAGTTTGAAACACATTGAAAATACTGTGTAAAATTACCTGCAGGCTATGAGTGTGTGAAACACAACTGACACTCAAATTTATCTTGGATCTTGTTTGCAGGATATCTCATTATGCAAGTATTACAAAATTTAAAATACCCGAAATCCAAAATAATTGCAGTCTCAACTTTTTGAGAAAAAAATTTTTGAATAAAAACAAAGATGGGGGCCGGTGCCATGGTGCACTAGGTTAATCCTCTGCCTGTGGCGCCGGTATCCCATATGGACGCCAGTTCTAGTCCCAGTTGCTCCTCTTCAGGTCCAGCTCTCTGCTGTGGCCCTGGAGGGCATGGAGGATGGCCCAAGTCCTTGGGCCCCTGTACCCGCATGGGAGGTCAGGAGGAAGCACCTGGCTCCTGGCTTCAGATAGCTGCAGCTCTGGCTGTTGCGGCCACTTGGGGAGTAAACCAGCAGAGGGCAGAGGGAAGACCTTTCTTTCTGTCTCTCTCTCTCTCCCTGTCTGTAACTCTGCCTGTCAAATAAAGAAAATAAAATCTTAAAAAAAAAAAAAAAGATGTTTTATTATCTGTATAACTTAATTTTTTATACAGGTTCTCAGAGCCTTTAATTCTGTGGCCACTATTGCAAATGCATGTAGTTATTTCTTTAGGCTTGTGTTATCTTTGATTCCTTGATTCTGTAATTCCTTAAAATATTATTTTGTGGTGTCCCAGAAAGGGAAACTTTTTGAATTTTTGCTGGTAATTTGTTTTGCATTGTTATCAACAGGTAGTATTTGTATTATTTCTACTTTCTGAAACATAGTGATGTTTACCTGGGGACTTTATAATGAGCTTTGTTGATGGTCCATGTGTTCTCTGCCTATAAATACACCTAAGTTTTTTCCCTGAAGTGTGTGCATGGACATGGGATTACTATGTCCAAGCACTTCACCTGTACTGCATAGTCCCAAACTGTTCCCACGTGCAACATATAACCACTGTGGTTTGCACACATTCTCTGTAGTACGTCAGACTTTTTTTTTGTTCCTTTCCTGATCTCAGCGTAAATGGTAAATATGGTAACTGTGATGTAGTACTTCACTGTTGATTTGCATTTCCTCCAGTGGTCAGATTGCATAGTTTTAATGTAGTACACTTTCATCATCTTCTGTGAAACACTTATTTGTAAAACCCCTACTTTGATCAATATTTTTTCTCTGCCTAAATCTTAAGGACAATTGTTTCAACAAGAGTCTGCTACCCTGTGCTTTGACTTCTCATTTTGTTCCTAATATTTATTGTACATAAGTTTAAAACTTCAATATTGCACAATACTGCATTGTACTTTCCAGTATGATGCCATGAAAATATACCACTTTACACCCACTGAGATGGGTACAGTCAAAGAAATATATTGGTGTTGGAGAAGTTGTGGTGAAACGGGAACTCAAATTCATAGCTAGTGGGGATATAAGATGGTACATCTGCTGTGGAATATAGTTGGGCAGTCCTTCAGTTCTGCTTCCCTAGAAGGGCAGAAGAAATGAAAACACGCTCATACAAAACCTTGCACATGTGTTTTTACAACAGCACTACTTATAATAGTCAAAGAAAATGGCAACTCAAATGCTTATTACCTCAATGAATGAATAAAATATGGGTTGTGCATACAATGGAGTATTATTTGACAGTAAGAAATGAGGTATCAATACATGTTACAACATGGGCAAACCTTAAACACTAAGCCACATGAAAGAAGTTGGATGCCTATGAAAGAAGTAGGACACAAAAAGGTGCTCTATGACTCTATTTTACAAGACAAGTATAATGAAACACTCATCTACATACAACAAATACAAATATTGTTTCATTCATATATTTCCGAAGTAGTAGTTACCATGATACTTTAACCCTACGTAGCATGTGCTTTTAAAAAATGAGCATTTAATTTAGAACTACATAGTATCATTTTTTACCCCTAGAAAAATAAAAATCCGCTCATATCATCCAATACAGCATTTTAAAATTCCTCTAGTTCCCTGAATGTTGTACAGCTATCTTGTGCTAATGCCCACTCCAGTTCATTGCACATAGTTAGATCTCTTCAAATCTTTTTCGGTCCTTGTACTTGGTCTCCCAACCATAACAGCTTTTATAATATGCATATGCCTCATAGTTTCCTTGTGGTATCATTTATCTATTCTTATATCTTTGTTTCATGTTAACCTAAAAGTAATGGCAAAGCCATACTTAGATTCCAGTTAAACTGTTGTTGTTGTTGTTCTTAGGCAAAAATATTTCAGAGGTTATTCCATATACTGTTCACATGGTACCACATAAAGAGATAGCTATCATATAACACATAGCTTTCCCCCTGTGTGGTTAACAAAAGTACTGTTGGAACATTATATTTCTCGGCACACTTAATGATGGTAGCATCTCTTGGTGATCTTCACTTGGACCAGTGATTTCACTGGTGGTATAAAATGGTATTTCTGAAAAATGCACTTCTTAAAGGGGAAAGTCCTACAATTTCTCTATTAAAAACAAGGTTTTTACTTTAAAAATGTTTTAGTTTACAATCAAATTTGCCAGTTGTTAGTTGATCAATTTGATTTTTGATAAAAGTACAGTGTTATAAACACCACCATTGGCACAATGAAGACTATCTCCCAAATACTTCTCTGTGGGTCTTTGAAGTTACCCTCCTCTCCATACCCAGTTCCAGGCATCTACTGATCTGCCTTCTGTCTCCAGAGACATAAAGAATCAAACAAAATCCAGCCACAAAACAAGATTGTTCCATTTCATGTAATGCATTTGAGTTCAATGGATGTTATCAAGTATATCAATAGTTGATGCCTTTGCACTGCTAAGTAGTATCTCATGAATGGATAAATTACAACATAGGTTTTTTACTAGTTGATGGAAATTTTGACTGTTTAAAATTTGGGCTGCTAGAAATACTTGAGTGCAAATCTTTTGAACACTTTTTCAGTTTTTCTAAACAAATACCTGAGTGGGGTTTCTGCATGGTCCTTTAAATCTATTAACTGCTTAAAAAATTGTCAACTGGATTTGCGAACTTGCTGTACCATTCTACCGGCAACACCAGAGAATTTCAGTTGTTGTACATCCTCGCTAACCCTTGATATTGTCAGTTTGGTACATTTTGTCTGTTTCACTGGTGTGAGTAAATCTCACTATGATTTTAATTTGCTTTTTTGTCTGACAAATGATGTTGAATATTAATATATGTAATTGCCATTTTGGACATATTTTGGTAAGGTGTTAAAATCTTTAACTTGATAGTTTTAAGTGGTAGGAATTCTTTTTTCCCCAAGGTATGTGATTTAAGTTTTTCAGACTAATGTTAATTTTATTGAACGTGGTCTCCAAAGTTGCATGTGATATTTGATTGTGGGCTGGAAGTTCTTTATGCATTGACAGTACTTAATTAAAAAAGAAACAAACAATGTTTCTTGTCTTTTCTTATATATCTTGTACTGCATCAGTATTTGTTGAATCTAAGAATAGGAGAGCACTGTGATAATACCTATGAATTGTAAATTGAGAAATACTTGGCATCATAAGGCATTTAATTCCTTCATTGATTACTTGCTTCACTATACATTAAATACTTACATATTTGGATCCTTAGTGTAATGCCTGGGACACCTGTTATCCTGTAACACACATTAGAAAATTTAGTTGTCCAGTGATCTTATCTCTTATAGTTTCCATATATGCTCTTGAGTTGTCTCTGGAGACCATCATATTACAAAAAGACAATTATCAGATGCCTTCTCCTTGAAAGACTTTCTTGACTACCTTCCTGGTGAAGTTTGTCAGAGCAGCAGTTATACTTCCAATTGTCCTAGTCCCTCATTGGTTAACATTTGGGTTCTTTGCTGGTTGGTTTCATCTTAGAGACTGCTGAAAAGTGAGGTGCCTCAGGATTCAATCTTCTTTTGTTTTCTCAACTTAATTGAACCATATGCAGTCTACAAAACTTCTAAGTATGTTTTTATACAGGATTTGTACCCTGAACATTATACTTGAATATTTATTCAGTTCTCAGTATCTTGGTTGCCAAACATCATTAATAAGAATTACTAATACAACCTCTAAAAAACTATTCTAACAACATTATATATGTTAACTATGGTAACACTTCATATGCATTTCAATGTTTTAGTTTTTTTTAAGATTTATTTATTTATCTGAAAGAGTTACTCAGAGAGAGGAGAGGCAGAGAGAGGCCTTCCATCTACTGGTTCACTCCCCAGACAGCTGCAACAGCTGGAGCTACGCCTATCCAGAGCCAGGAGCTTCTTCTGGGTCTCCCATGCGGGCGCAGGTGCCCAAGGACTTCGGCCATCTTTCACTGCTTTTCGAGGCAATAGCAGAGATCAGAAGTGGAGCAGCTGGGTCTCAAACCAGTGCCCATATGGGATGCTAGTGCTTCAGGCCAGAGCGTTAACCCACTGCACCACAGTGCCAGCCCTAACATTTCAATCTTAATATACCCAAAACCGAACTCTTTATACTTAGACCAAAATATTCTCCACCATAGTTTATGATTTCAATTAATGGCAACTTTATCCTTTGGGTTGCCAAGGCCAAGTGTTGGACTTATTCTTGACTCTTAGTCAAAATAAAACAAAAAAAACCCTACCCATCCTAAATGGATATTGTTAGCTCTAAACTCAAAACAATGCCATGTAGTAAATGATTCTCATCTTGCTATCACCCTGTCCAAGCCATCATCTCTCTCAAGACTTTTTCAGTAAGTAAACAGATTACCATGTAATTCTCAACACTGCATCCAGAGTGATAAGTTAATCCAAAGTGATATGGCATGTTACTTGATCTGTGTTTGTGTCCTCCCATATCACAAGCAGTAAGAGTCCTTAAATTGGCCTGTTAAGTCCCACCCGGTGATATATCTTTAAATGTACCCTCAGTAATGCTCCTCTCTGTTCCATTTCTCCAGCCTCATTAATGATCCTAGACCTTGCTAGGCACAACTGTAGCTAAGGGTCTCTTAAGCTTGCTCTAGGGGGCTGGCGCCGTGGCTCACCTGGTTAATCCTCCACCTGTGGCACCAGCATCCAATATGGGTGCCAGGTTCTAACCCCAGTTGCTCCTCTTCTAGTCCAGCTCTCTGCTGTAGCTTGGGAGGGCAGTGGAGGATGGTCCAAGTGTTTGGGCTCCTATACTCACATGAGAGACCAGGAAGAAGCACCTGGCTCCTGGCTTCTGATCGGCGCAGCACCGGCCATAGTGGCCATTTGGGAAGTGAACCAACAGAAGGCAGACCTTTCTCTCTGTCTCTTTCTCTCACTGTCTATAACTCTACCTGTCAAATAAAAACAAAAAAACAAAAAGCTTGCTCTGCCTACTTCCTGGAACCATCTTTCGAGGTAACTGCATGGCTTTCCTGCTACCTCATCTCCTTCAATCATTAACCTGGGCTTAGCATTCTCAGTAAGATCTTAACTTGAGTACTGGATTCTAACTCACATTTCACCCAGCTTGACCTGCTTTATTTTTCTCCTCATACTTGTTACCTTCTAAGAGAATATAATTTTCTTATATATTCTTCTCTAATGTCTGTCTTCCCCTCCAGAATTAAACTCCAGAAAGTTAAAAATTTCTTTGATTTCTCACTCACAGGCAGGGTCTTCAAAAAGTTCATGAAAGGGGCTGTGCAGAGGTTAAGCCTCTGCAGTGCTGGCATCCCATATGGGAACCAGTTCAAGTCCAGGCCTCTCTACTTCTGATCCAGCTCTCTGCTGATGGCCTGGGAAAGCAGTGGAAGATGCCAAATGCTTGGGCCCCTGCACCACATGGGAGACCTGGAGGAAGCTCCTGGATTCAGATTGGCCCAGCTTTTGCCATTACAGCCATTTGGGGAGTGAACCAGCAGATGAAAGATATCCTCCCTGCCTCTCCCCCCGCCCCCGCCTTTCCCTCACCTCCTCTCCCCCACTGCATCTCCCCCCACCGCTGCCTCTCTCCCCCCACTGCCTCTCCCCCCCCAGCCTCTCTCTCTGTAACTGTGCCTCTCAAAAATAATCTTAATGTACATTTTTCATGAACTTTTTAAAAAAAATTCCATTTATGAACTTTTTGAAAGATCCTTCTGTATTCCAACACTGACATATACTAATTGCTCAGTCAGTAGCTGAGAAACCTGTGTGGCATATATTTTTGAAATTAGCACCAAGGACCTTATAATCTGGAGGTGAGGCAGTTTAAACTGTCATTTTGCCCTGATGCATTGAAACAGTGATGGGAAAATAACACAGCAGAGCATATAAAATCTTACACCGAAGGGTACATGAAGGCTCCTGTCCAACTGGTGCTCAACTCATCCCTACCTGTGTACTACCCATGTCCTGGGTACTTATTTAAATAAATAACCAACATAGCAACTCATTCTGATGGTGGACCCTTTTTAAAAGAGTTACTTCTTGGTACCATCATTTAACAGGTTTTTTAACTTGCTATTTTTAAAGATATTAAATTGACACAAAAAGTTCAAAACTTTTCAATATAAAAATAGTATAATGTGATGAGTAGCTATACTTGGATTAATTCATTTACTGGGGAAATTAATGCCTGACCTCCACTGAACATCATTGTGATACTTGATTTTAATTCTGACCTGCAAATCAAATTTCTAAACCATCAGTATTCATAGAGTACACATAGTTGCACACTGCTGTTGTAAGCACCAGTGGTCTATAAAATAAGTGGAAGACACAGCCTGCTTAGATAAGTTGGTGGTTAATGTTGCTTGCACACATTTCTGAAGTACAGCGTAAAGCAAAAGAATGATCTGAACATTAATTTAAACTTTCATTCTATTTTCAACCTTGCTTAGCCTTTAACCTATCTGAATAAATGGCTTAACATTTTTCCCTTCCAGCTTGCCTGTTGGTGACTGGTTTATCCAACAAAATGATTTTAGCAACAAATACTTGTCATTGAAGTCAATTGAACATTTCCTAGTAATTGAATGAACAAAACCAAGCATAATCCCATTGTTTGTATTCTCTTATGCTTGAGGACTTATGTGTCTGTAGGACTACTGTTACTTTTTATTATACTTAAAACAAAAACCTTGGCATTCATTGAGATTCTGTCACCAGTACAGTGTGGTTATATTAAAGCAGCACATTGAAATAGTTCATGGTAAGTTATTGAAAAGGCTACCTCCTAGCCTCTGTAGAAATAACTCTCTTAGTTTGGTAATACTATCAATTTTAAAAGTCAGTAAGGATAAAATAGCATTTTGTTAAATAACTTTTTCATGAGAAAAAGTTGAAAAATTGAATATTTGAAACTAAAAATGGAGCTAAACTGAGTTCAGCATTTTTTTGCCATGCCATGGCGTATTTCCTTTCATCTCCCTAAATGCAAACAGGAAGCAGAGGCCGAGCTGCTTTGTCAGTTACACTCCTGGTCTCCCTCCTTAAGCTTTCTTCTCAGTACTGTTCTTGGGGAAGCAACTTCTGGCTCCAGATAAATGGCTGTGGGTTCCAGCTCTTACCTGCCAATTACCGTGCTTGGGCTATCTGTGCCAGCCTCTGGGTCAGCCAGTGATGAGGTGAAGGACCTGTTGGCTGAGTTCATTAGCAGAAATTCGTTCCACCCAGATGGAGCTGAGGTTTGGGGTGGGTGCGCAGAGGGAACCAGGGGGCTGCTGAGATGGGTTGAGATTTTAAAAATTTTTTTCCTTAAGACCTGGGAAATGAAAGCACTACTTCCCCTTCAGAATCCCCGCTTCCCTTTTCAGTTCCTCCCTTTGGGGCAGACAATGGAAGATTTCAGGCCCCCTCTCTGGGAGCCTAGTGCCTGTTGTCCCCTCTCCCCCTCCCTCCTCTCGGCTCCCCGCCCCTCACCCACAGGCTTCTCCAACTCCAGCTTCAGGCAGAGATTTGTCAGAATCGTTCGGTTGAGACTGATTATGATTGCAGCAGATGGGCTGGATTTGACAGCACAGATCCTGAGCAGCTTCGGATGGGGGGGGGGGGGGCGAGGGGCGGGGAGCGGGAATGCCGCCTCATAGGAGCACATGCCGCACAGCCCAGCCGGGTGCACCGCTGCTTCTCTTGAACGCGCGCCATCAAGAGCCAAGTGGCACTGCCGAGCCGGGGGCCCGCAGGGAGCGCGAGTAAGTCTTGTCTTGGCCAGCAGGGCGCGGGGCCCCGGGAGGCAGTGCCGGCGGGCCAGCAGGCGGCGGAACACAAAGCCTGGGAGCGCGAGTGCCTGGCCGAGAAGCGCGCGCGGCCCGGGCTCCCTCAGCGCGCTCTGGACATGGCAAGTTGGTCAACTCCTGGCTCAGCGGCCGGCGCTCAACCGCCCCCGAAGTGACGGCGTGCTGCAGGGTCTGCCCCTGGGCCGCTGCAAAATGTTCTACCACAGACCAGGTAAGGAGACGCCAGCGGGTTATCCGTCCCGGCGCGCCCCCAACACACAGCCACACCTGCCACTCGGACCCGAGCCCTTCTCTCTGCCGTGCCTTTTAGTTTGCTTCTTGGGCCTCCGTGGATATAAACAGTCCGCTGCTGCCCTCATATTCGCCTTTAGTTTCTCCCCTACCGGATCCCTACGGCAGGGGGAGAGATTCTGGTAGGTGGCGCAAGGTTAAGGGTGTTCCGGCGCCTGCCAGCCTGCGCGACGCTTGTCTGAAGCGTGGTCAGTGTATGCGTGCGTCCGCTGTTCGCTCCCACGCAGCCCGAGCCGGGCGCCCCGTGCGCACCCCTCCTCCTCTCCACCTGTGGTGCCTGGGTTTTGTGCTGAAAGCACAAGTGAGCACACACGCGCACGTGCGGTTGCACTTCCACGCTGGTGGCCTCCAGACGCTGGAAACGTGGCGTATAGAGGGCTGGCGGGGCACCCTGGCCCTTGAGCTTTCCGACTCATTAAAGCACAGCGCCAGCCCGGCTCTGTCTCTTGGCCTTGATTCCAGTGTCCAGGTGCCAGCAGAGCTCCGTGCCTCCAAGGAGCTGGGAGGGAGGCAGCTTTAACTTGGCTTGGCTGCTGTGTGCTCCTAGGGCTTCCCTCCACCCACGAAAGGAGCAGCTTCGGCCACTGCCTGGCCTGGTCCGGCCCCAGCCAGCACTGTCGCCTTCAGGCCATGAGGAACGCGCGACATGTGGGTCCCCTGACCTCGACTGCCCAGCTCAGGCCACACATCCAGGTGTCCCCTCCTTTGCAGCCACAGCCAGGCTTCCCTCACTCTGAGCATGCACCCTGTTGCTACTGGCAACTACCTATGCTTAAAGCTCTGGTAAGGAGAGATCGGCTTAATGCTGATTGATGGGCAGAAATATGATACGGTTGAGAGCTCAGCGGTTGGTCTGCCTTCCAGGCCCCACCCCATGTTCGCCATTATAAAAGGTGCTTTTGGGGTGTCCTCATCTGTGTTAAATATTGAGCTAATTTGCTTTCCTGGTGACCATCAGGCAGCTACACGGGAATGTTTTCTTGTATTTCAGGCTTTATTGAGTGGGGTCAACAAGGCCTTGTTTCTGGCCACTACCATCTCCTTTTACCTGCATCTGTACTTCTTCCAGTCTTCCTTACACGTAAGTTCCTAAAATAGGTCTCACTTTTAATCCCCAGATCTATTTCTGGAAATGCTTATAAAAGCACCCCTTGCTTGGTCACTTTGCTCTGCACCTTCTCTCTGAAGACGTGAGAGCTGGTCATTTTGACCCTTCCACAGATACAGTCCAGGCGCAAAGCTTGTTCTTCATTGTGGTAACTCCTGTGATTTTCATGTAACCACCCCCTCCCCCCTAAGCTGCAGCATCACTTCCCTTTACTGGCATAGCAGTCCCCTTCTCTGAGCTGCCATGGGCTAACGCAGGTTCTCTGGCCTAATACAGGATCTTGGCCCTGTCTGTGGCTCTGCTGCTGCTTGCCCAGTCTTGGCTGCGGAGACCTAAGATGCCCTGATGGAAGAAGTGGTCTTTAGAAGAACTGTGTTCCTCAGTGCTTCCTTCCAAAACTCCGCGTTTTCTGGCAGAGCATTTTAATCTAAGGTGTCATTTTGTGGCCTGTGGATGGTGCTTTGAGAAGCTTGTGATGTTTTTGAGTCATTCACTTACTCCCGACAAAATTTCCTTGAGGGGCTTCCACATGTTGGACACCAAGGTAGGCCCTTGACAAGAATGGAGCAGAGACAAGGCCCACATGTGGATATCAGCATTTTGGAGCCCATGTTACCGCTGCATTGTGGTTACTTCTATGACAGTGAACATTGTCATACCATACTACATTTGACTAGGACTTTACAGTTTACAGAGGCTTTCACAGACATTATCTGCTTTAATCCCAGCTGCAGGAATTTTAAATAGCAAGGATTCCACCAAGAGGCTCAGTAATGCTTACCAATCCTGCTTAACCTAAAAGAAGAAGAATCTTACAAATCATCCCAACAGCTGATGAAGCTTTAAAACACAGAATAAACAATTCAGAAAAAGCTTAGGAAGCTTAGTTACTGGAATGTAACTTGGAGAAGATAACTGAAACGCATGTAACATGTACATTACCAGTGAGACACTCTGTGAAGCAACTCCAACCCTCGACTTTGGTGGCCCAGAGAAATGCTCAGGGTGGAGGCTTTCCAGGGCCCTGGGCTATTGCTTTATCCTAGGATCTAAAATGGGATGAAAGTGTTAGCAAAAAGTTGCTGGGAAGCTAGCAAATTAAGCAAAATGAGTAGGCAATGATGTTACTTTCTTTAGCTCAAAGCATTCTTGAGATATCCGCAAGTTTCTAGCATATATTTACTCAAAGTGAAGCAATTTTCTATACTTAGCACATAAAAAATCAGAGTGTGTGCCTTGTGTCACAGCTGTAGTGAAGACAACCTTGGTTTAGGTTGTTTGTCCTTACTGCTTACTTTGCAAATCTTGTACTGATAGATGGCAGTTTTCTCTTTTGATAATGTGTGGGGAGGATCTATAGAGGACCTGCATCTACAGTTGTTGCTTTCCTTAGCTCTTTGATGACAAAGTTCAGTCCTTCTGACTTCACTGTGAATATCATCTGTGACTGTGTCCCCAAAATAATTTCTAGAAGCAAACTGATAGTTGGAAGTTTTGATTGGCATTTCAGATACACAAGTATACTGAGAGGAGGTTGTCTTAGGGGCAGACTTTGGGCATGACTGAATAACAGGTAAGCCAAGAAAGGAATTGGAGGGTAAGGCCTATTATGACAAAAGTTGGATATATTATAGCAAGTTTTTGTTTAATATCATGTAGCTTTGTGACAACTTTAGAAGTTTTTTTCTATAGAGTTTTACTAAAGCCTATTGTTGTATGTTTAGCATCTTGGATGTTTATTTTGATTCCTAGATGTTAGAGTACTTCAGTTTACAGCTAACCTATGTCTCCAAATTGCAAATATGTTAATGCAAAGCACATTACAGATGAATATGTGAAGATGCTTCAAACATTTGTGGGAGATGGTGTAAAAACTTCTGAAAGCCATACATATTTTCCTCATTGAGTGTATGTGATAGCATGTCAAACTTCAAGAAAAATGCATTTAATAGGTGAGTTTGTATTACAGAGGATTTCTGAAATTAATGCATTTAAAGAGTTCAAAAATTTCACGGGAAGTGCATATGGTGTAAAACCATTCATAGATTCAGAAATAGGGATGTGTGGGTGTGTGCATCTGAGAAATTGATTAGATGTACTGGGACTGCTGGGCCCTCCTCTGAGAGGCTTCAGCTTCAGGTTTTCAAATGAAGTTTTAACAAAGTTGGGATTACTCCTGGGGAATATTCCTAGAGCTATCCTGTTTAACAGGGGAAACTGGAGCAATGGCTCTGCCCTGGCAGCAAGGTCATCCTGGCTTGGAGTTGTCTAACTTGCCTGTGACCCCTAATCATAGGGTTCCATTATTTAGTCATACAGCAAATATTTACTGAGGGTCATTTTTGGAGAATAAATCTCCTTTTTGTTGAGCACTGTGCCCTTTGAGGATTACCTAGTAGGTTTTCAAATGAAGTTTGTTGTTTTTTGAGTACCTGATAGTTTTGTCCTTTGAAGTATCTCTAGATGTGGTTTAAAGGCAGCGAAATATGGGTTCCAAGAGACTCCCTTGCTGTACAGTATTGGTGCTGGAGTCACGGCTGCCTCTGATTGGCATTACTTCTCGGATATCATACTCTGTCCTCTTTCTCCTTGTTAACAGTTTCTTTGTGTTCCTTCAACTCAGACAGCAGGTGGCAATGGGTTAAGTAAACTGTCCCTGTGGATTTGTCACTCAGAGGGTAACTGCTGTTATTTTGAGGAGGATGCTCGTTGTCTAGGTTTCCAGGTTCCTGGAAAGTAGGAAGGGAAGGGAAAGTGGCTCATTATTTCATATTGTTGGAAGGTGTTGAGTATGTTGTACTATTAGTGCGGTAGGTAAAATCGTGAGTGCTAATTGGGTGCAGGTTTTGTGAACCCAAATTTTGCTGACTGCCAAGTGAATTTGCAGGTGTTAAATGTGAAAGTCTATAGGCCCTGGCTGTACATCTAATTCTATCAAACACCGTTAATGTGTTTTGGGACAAGGTTATTAATCTCTAACCTGTTTCCTCATGTATAAAATAAGAAAAACTGCATTTAAAATGTTAACATTAAAATCTAACATTAAGGGCTTAGAAAAGTGCCTCACACACTGGAAAATCAACAAATGTTAGTGGCTGTGGTCTCTGAGTGTTATTTTCATTTTGCTTAAGGCTGGATAAGACTGCCTTTTTAGTGTTAACCTCATGTCTGAAACTTCTACTAGCACTGCACAGAGAAGAACCATTATAGGGCAGTTAAAATTTAAAGCAATTATAGCTATTTTCAGATGGAGTCTATACTACCTGTAGATACAAGGGACATGATAGTTATTTTTTCCTTGAGATGCA